CTTTCTCTTTCCTTCCTTCCTTCCTTCCTTCCTTCCTTCCTTCCTTCCTTCCTTCCTTCCTTCCTTTCTTTCTTTTCTTTCTTTCTTTCTCTTTTAATTGGGGAACAGTGTGTTTTTCCAGGACCCATCAGCTCCAAGTCAAGTAGTTGTTTCAATCTAGTTGTGGAGTGTGCAGCTCAGTGGCCCATGTGGGGATCTAACCGGCAACCTTGGTGTTATGAGCACTGTGCTGTAACCAACTGAGCTAACCAGCCGCCCCTGCCAATGTCTTTAAGCTCATTTTGAAGCAGCCAGTGGCTCTGGTTCTATTATAGACCTATGTCCTGAAGTCCCCTCCTGGCATTAGATACGACTGCTCACTCATTCAGGAAGAAGTCCTGCATAGTAGGCAGTGCACAGTGCTATTGTGAGTGGCTGACCCTTTGGAAAGAACAGAGCTTTGTATGGAGCCCACATTTCTTGTGAGGCTTGTGCTGTGGGTTTTGTACATGAGCACATGTCCTTCCTGTCATCCCTCCTCTGGCCATGGCTTGGGTTTGAGGACATGGATGCGGATCATTTACTTGTTCTGGCATAAATGGCGACCGTGACAGCAACCTTCCAGCACAGCCAAGAGATGCTGGCAGCCAGAGGCACACGGCTGCCACTTGGCCTTGGCCCGTCCAGCAGCTGGATGGTGTACCCGCTGGCACGCATTTGTGTGGTGCAGACACAGACGTGAACGGTAAAGCAAGGGGGCGGGATGAAGTCCACAGCCTTGTTACGTACGTTACTGCCTCTGGTCCTGACCAGGTGAGAGAAACCACAAACCACCCAGTGGCTTACTGCTGCTTTCTTCAATCAAGCCATGCCCTCGGCACCTGAAAGAAAGATGAACTGGATGCTAAGAGTGCACTTTCGGAGTCCAGCTCCTCCGTCAGAGAAAGCTTCCAGATACCCTGAGACTCCAGCTGGAGACAACACGGCTACAATTCCAATTAAACACTATATTGAATAGTTTGGTCTCAGTACACTCTATTTGTTTAGTTTATTTGAATATTTGATAAGAGAAGTGCTGCAGTGGCAAAAAATTAATTAAAATAAGAAAGAACAATCTTAAGAGAGAAAAGGAGGGGAAAAAAAAAACTCACGTTGAGAAGCCGTAGATGGCTTCTCTCCACAACTGCCAGCAATTAATTAATCACTAACCTGTGTATTATTTGCAATTTAGGAATCTCTGTCCCCTGGACAAAAAAAAAGATTATTATTTTTTGAAATGTCTAATTAAAACATGTTGAAAGACAATCTCTAAAATGGGTTTGGCCAGTGATAATCACATTGGCAACAGGGCTGGGAGTTGCTGAAGTGCGGTCTGGGGGGCTTGCTGGAATTAGAGAAATCTTTCCTCATTAAAACGCTAAGCCTTTGAGGGCTGTTTTCCTCACGCTTCACCATGCGCTGCTTGCTTCAGATACTTGTGGGCAAGGACAGGACGAGAGCATCAGCAACCATCTCTTCCGTGTTCCCACAGTGGGTGGAAGGTTCGGAGGGAGGTTTCCACTGCCGTCATCCTGGGCTGCTGGTTGGAATATATAGAACAGTGTTATCGAGACATAACTCACATGTTCTGAGGTCCACCCTGGATTATATTTTTAACCCTCTGTAATCAGCTCAGGAAAGGGCTGCACCTCCACTGGGCTGAGGCCGGATGGATGGAGTTCTATGAGGAGCCCTGTGCCTGTCTGTCCAGGGCCAAGGCCTCCACCTGTTCATCCCGGAGCCAGCAGCCCACACAGCTGCCTTCCCCCTCTCCTTCTATTACCTCCTCGCCCTTCTGTACTCGAGCAGCTGACAATCTTTACCCCAAATGATTTACAGCTGTGTGTGTCAGGACAGGTCTGACACTGATGGAGTCCCTTATCTCCCTCTTGTGTCCTCCCTGCTGACAGCCTTCCCCCAGGTATTAATCAGTGCACCAGCTCCCCACTCCTAGGGTGAGCCAGGGGCTGTCAGGGATGCGTTTAGATTGTCATCTTCATCTGAACTGCCATCTGCCCTTTGCAGCTTAAAGGGTCTTTCTGAGGCATGCAGGGGAGAGGAGGTGCATACACCATTTCCAGCTAATCTGCTATGGTTTGGGATGATTCTGTGTGTTTTGGACAAATTTGGGGAATATGGTTTCTAAAAGGCAGCACAAGGGACATTAGCTTGCACCGGCTGCTCAACCGATGGGGGTGATGGCAGGCTCACCTGGCAACCTCTCTTCCCTCTGATAAAAATCAACCTGATAGCTTCTCAGCAGGGGCTGCAGTCACAAACGGAGCTTTGTGAGCTCTAAGGTTGATGCTTTAGAAGGAGGCAAGTGAGGACTGTACAACAGAGAGGGGACATAAAGACGCCAAATGAGCACAGGAATGGGGGTGCTGGAAGTACAGCCCCTCGAGACTCCACAGGAGACACAAACATGGGAGCCGGGGAGAGGGAACACATGTGTCTAAGCCTGGCTTTGAATTGGCCCCAAATGCAGTGACATTTTCTTTTTTGGCTGCTTTGAAGAAGGAGAGGAGAAAACGTAGACTCTGACATTAAAGATGGATGGGGCTTAGACAAATCGAACAGTTTTGATGGTTTTCCCAGTGCTGGGAAGGCTGAGGGCATGTCTCCATGGTGCGCTTCTGGGAGAGGGGCACTGTCTTTTCCTTAAGCCCAGAGAATGCTGCATAATGAAAAGGCAGCTTTCAGCCCAGCCGGCTGCAGGGGGGTTTAATATTTAACACCGTATTGGCTGCCGTGTGTGCTGGGGTTTGCTCATCCACTTTAGGTTGACATTTGCAACAGGAGCTCGACCAGGGCCTCTCAGTGGTGAGATGCTTGGCACAGGGGCGAGGCCAAAGGACTGAGCTTTCTGGTCTCTGCAGAGGGCACCTGTGGACAGCTCTTTCCTAGGCAGAGCCCACCTGTCCTGAGCCTGGCTGAGCGTTTGACTTTAAAAGCAGATTCGGCTGGCTAACCCCTCTGCATGCGAATGGCAGCTTGAAGGAGCAGAAATCCCATTAAGGAGGAACTATTGACCCATCAGTCTGCGTGGTGTTCACTGTCTGCTGATCTTCCATTTGTGGCCTGAGGACCTTTAATGTGGGACGTGGTAATTGGAGAAGAGAGATTAGAAATAGGAATAAGACAATGACTGCGTGTGGCACTGACTAGCAAGGACCTGAAGGCCACTTGATCTGTAATATTCTCTTGGCCACCACACAATGAGACGTGCTGTTCCGATCCCCGCAGAACTTGGTGGCCCAGAGCGGCTCCAAATCCAGTGTGTCTTATTCGTCTTGGTCATTCCACAGTCTCCAGCACAAGTTCTATGCTGGTACCTCCTGGGTTCTATGTCTTTGTCTATGACAGGAAAGGTTAGAAACCCAAGGTTAACATGGGGGCCAACAGGGGCGAGGGGAAAACACATCTACAGGGAAACACATGCATCCAAGATGGATAACAAATTACATAAACAGCTGAAAAAGACTCACCCTGTTTTAATGCCATAGATAGGTGCCAGGCTGCAGTGGCCATAGCTGGTGTGGGCTGGGCAGAAAGAATTTCATGTAGCGTGCAGGTTGAATCTGTTTCAATTGGCGCTGGCTGCCACTGTGACCTTTTTTTTTTTTTTTTTTGATTAGTATAGCTGAATTAACTTCCCCGCCTTTGGGCTCTGCTCCCACCATGCAACACAAATTGAAATAGTGGGGTGGCAGGCGGTGGCAGTGGGGGCTGTGTTGGGGAGGGGATCGCAGGGACCTTCCATCTTGTTAATGTAACACTTCCTTACGTGATGGGAGCTGAGAGCAGCCTATAATGAATTTCTCCTCTGGTAATCATTCACCAGTGCATTGTGACCTGTGTGTTTTTGCTGTGCTACTCATTTCCAGACTTTCGCAGTGACTTGTCAGCACCTAGTAAAAATGAATTGGACACGACCCATCTCTTCATGCAATGCCCTCCCCAGCAGCCTTTCGTCTCGGTTGAGAGAAGGAGTAGGTGGGACCACCTAGAACGGCGGCCATAGACTCCGCGGCTGTGGTCTGATTCCAGGCCCATCATGCAGGGAGATTAGCACAGGCGTGCCAAGTCTGTGGGCGCTCCTGTTACACTGAGCCATATTCTTTGGTCTAAACGGTTCCAAAGTGGCCTTTGCCTTTTGCACCTGTTGTTTCTTGCTACACGATGAGCTGCGCAGGCAGTTTCTTTCATCAAGAAGACATGGGTGCAAATGGTGGTACAATTAGGCATCTGGGCACCCCATGGGTTCTTCCCAACTCTGGTGTGAAGATGCATTGATGGCGGGGGACGAGGCTATCGTCTGAGTCATACGCTTGAGCGTCACCATCTGCACTGTAATTCTAGCCACGTGGTCAATCGTAAGAAGGGTTTACAACCAGCTTTTACTGCATTTATGGATCATGATGATTAAACAACAGATGGGAAACCCAACCAAGACTTCTAATCTCTACCTCTTTACTGATGGAGTGAGCGGGGGCTGAGGGAGTCACTCCATGGTCTCTGTCTAGGGCTGAGTCTACAATTAGGACAGGCACCCCCTCACCCCGATTTTCTGTCCTGTGCATTTTCTTATCAGATCACAAACACTGACTTTTGGATTTGAAAGGATGGTCCCTGAATCCTGGGAAGGTTCTAGGAAGCCCATGATAAAGAGGAAACCCTTCATTTAGGGTCGCCAGATAAAACACAGGATAGCTGGTTAAATTTAAACTTCAGATAAACTACATATATTTTCAGTTTAGGTATGTCCCAAGTATTACATGGGACATTTTTTTTTAAGGTAAGATGCTTTTTTCTTGTTGTGGCAAAATATACATAACATTAAAGTTATCATTTTACTCATTTTTAAGTGTATAATTCAGTGGAGTTAAGTATATTCACAATGTTGTGCAACTATCACCAGTACCCATTTCCAGAACTTTTTGATCATTGCAAATTCTGTACCCATTAAACAATAACGCCCCGTTCTTATTCCCTCCAGCCCTTGGTAACCTCTAATCTACTTTCTGTCTCTTAATTTGCCTATTCTAGGTATCTCACATTAGTGGAATCACATAATATGTGTCCTTTTGTTCCTGGTTTAGTTCACTTAGCATAATATGTACTTTCAAAGTTCATCTCTGTTGTAACACGTATCAGAATGTCATTCCTTTTAAGGTGGGATATTATTCCATTGTATGTACATACCACATTGTTTATTCATTCATCTGTTGATGGACATTTGGCTTATTTTCACCTTTTGGCTGTTGAGAATAATGCTGCTATGAGCACTGATGCACAAGTATCTGTTTGATTTTTTTGCTTTCAATTTTTTTGAGTCTGTGTACCTAGAAGTGGAATTGCTGGATTAATGGTAATTCTGTGTTTAACACATTTTCCTCAGTGGCTACATGGGATATTTTTATTTGTTAAATCTGGCAACCCTCCAACATTTCAATAGTATTTGAGTATGAATTTATTTAACCTAAATTATCATATGTCTTTGATCATAAAATTGTCATTTGAAACAGAAACAAATAATGCCCATTTCCATGTTGGAACTTGTGGGCTTAATTTCTCAGTTCAGACTCTAGGAAACTTACCTCCACATTGTCCACTACAGTAAAACACAGGTAGCAATTAGGAAGAAGTAAAATATTTTTAGTCTCTACAAATCGGGCAGCTTGATGCCTGTCAGAAAGGGGAATTTATACAAGTCACTCATTCATTCATTCATTCATTCATTCATTCAATGAACAATTGTTGTGCTTGCCCAGTAAGTGCCAGGTATGAATTGGGGGATCCCAATTCTCCTTACCCCTCACTCTTGCTCCAATCAATTTCCCTTTGCCTCCAACCTTTGTACACACTGGCCCTTTTGTCTGACACACCTCACCCCTGCCCTTCCCACTCATCTGACTCACCTGAGAGTTCAGCTCCCACTGGATATGATGCTCAGCGGCAGCCTCCCTGATCCTCTCCCACACTCACAGGTCTCTACACTTCACTTTTTAGCTCCTGCCATGATGGTTACGACAAATTTGTGTGATTATTTGATTCACCAATCTCTCTCTCTCTCNCCTCTCTCTCTCTCTCTCTCTCTCTCTCTCTCTCTCTCTCTCTCTCTCTCTCTCTCTCTCGATTGTAAGTTCCCTGAAGGCAAAGACCATGTCTGTTATACTTATCATTGTTACCTAGCAACTAGCAAGGCACGTAGTAGACATTTGATATAAACTATGTTAATTATATGAATGCATGCATGCATAAATTCTTCCCTCAAGAGCTAGTGGGAGACAGACAAGTAAGCACATCAGTATCTATGTAAGTAGCTCTAAATGAAGGGCTCTGGGAAAAAGAGCAATTCTGCTGAGAGAGAGCTTGGATTTGGGCCAGTTCCACAATAGAATCAAGCCCAAAGATATGCTCCCAGGCTTCTCTGTAGAAGGGAGATTGAGAATACGTAGGTACGGGGAGCATCTTCAGAGCTTTATCCTCACTGCATTGTACAACACAGATTCAGACAACCCAACAGAGCTACTCGATTGCTGGGCTGTCGGAGCTCGGGGCTCAAAATCCATTTAGCTCAAATGCCCACTTTATAGATGGGAAAGCCAAGATGTGCATGACCTTCCAAAGGTTACAGACCTAGAGGCAGAACTGAGAACGCTGGTCTCCCAAGCTCTAGGACCAGTGCTGTGCCCCCTCTTTAGCATGTCCACGTTCAAGGGGAGAGGCGCACTGGTGGGTTTCAAAACCCTCTAAAGTTTTCTTTGAACTTTCGTTGGATTGAAAAATAGTTGGCTGGGAACAGAAATGTGACTGCTCAAGGAGAGATCAAGGGGTTAGGGGAGAAAAACGGGGAAGACAGAAAGCAAATCCAGAAAGGCTGCCTGCGCGGCCCTGGAGTCAAGGCCCTGCCAGGGCGGTTAGGCGTGCGGCTTGGCCACGCGGCGGGCAGCCAGCGGGCGCTCCGGCGGCTGAGCATCAGTTCCCAGTGGAGGCAGTCAAGGCTTCAGGATGGAGATTTATTAGCAGAGCTGTGCTCCAAACCATGGCAACCTGGCCCTGCAGACGATTCTGAGAGGCCTGGAGGGGCTGGGGAGGCTGCAGCCCGCGCTTTGCAAGGAGAACTGTACCCGTTTCCAGGGGAGGTTGTTTACGTTAGGGTAGAGGACGATTCATGCCTGATCATAGCTGCCAAAGCCTGATGGTTTGGTGAGGGGTACCACAAAAACAGAGCACCCCAAAGCTCCACACCCCAAGTCCCTGGCCCAGGGCTTTACTTCTCTGCTGAGGAAGGGTTTTGTGGGCACCTCTGTGTGCACAGGCGCCTGCTGGCCCTCAGGTGAGGCCTCCGCGTCCTGGGTGGGCTGCTCAGGCTGGGTCCTCTGTGGAGAGAGGAGTCCTGCTAACCTGGTGCCACCAGGCAGGAGGAGGGTTGGGGAAAGGCTCAGACCACCTCAGCCAGGGGGGCGTGAGTCCTCAGCAGAAGGGTCCCTTTCTCTTAGAGCCCCCGAACAGCGTTCCTGCACACACAGATGTCTGATGGGGTTGTCTGGCAGGGAAACAAGAGGAAGCAGGTGTCATTCTCTGGATGAGCTGCAGAAATGACTTGGCTCAGGGCTCCCTCGGTGGTCTCTCACCCTGGTGTTCAGGGAGAACAGAGAAGGCATCTTCTTTTGCCAGGAGCTCCTCTCTGGGTCACCGAGAAAATGAAGAAATGAGAAGAACCAGCCTTGGAGGGTGGAGAGCAGCCTGCGAGGCTTGGGAATGCTGAGAGGTGGGAATTCAGGGGCAAGGATACCTCTGCCCCAGTCCTTATGCTTCTCAGGACCCTCCCCATTTTGCTGATTTCAGGAACAGGTGTTGACGTTACCGTGAAGCCCGGGAGTGGACAGAAGGGAAGCTCTGAGGACCCACATAGGTAGCATTTCCTATTCTGATCATCAACCCCTCATCTCACACCCGATCCCCGAGGGGAAGTATTTTCCCCAGGAGTTTTGTTTAGCTGTGCCTCGGATTAAAGCCTGCAGCCTGTGAGAACTGGAACAGAGTCATCTTTCCATTTCTTCCTCAGACTCCCCTCCCGTGCTCCATTACCACCACCAACGTTGCAGGGGCAAAGGCGTCTCAGCATCCAGATGGGTCCTGTTTCCCTCAAGGATGGGCCTGTTCCAACTTCATTTCACTGCCTCCCCTGAGGATTGTATAAACATTTCCAGAAGGATACAGATAAGAAAAAAAAAAAACTAACTTATGTAAACACTAGATGGCTAGAGACCAGGAGATATTATTAGTTTATTAAGGCTTTGAAAATACCCAAAAACTCAACTACAGAAACGTAGAAATTTGCTTTTCATTTTAACCTCTGTTATTGTTGCTGGGTCAGTAATGCAGTAGAAGCGGGCATCTCAAGAGACGTATTGTAGAGATCATAGAGGGACAGGGAGGGAAGTAGCAGAAATTTGACTGGGGTGGCCTTACTGGCCAGTGAGAAATGAGGACAGGGAGTGGGGGAGCTGTACTTTCCGTAAATTAAGGAAGGCCAGGGTGATGCAGATTAGAAGGCACCTCCTCACGGTGCCTTAAAGGATCTTACCTGGCTTTCAGCCTCTTCTCGATACCCTTCCCCTGCTAATCATGCTTTCATCACACTGCTTTGTGTCCCTAGAAACACAGCAAACTCTTTCCCATAGCAGCATCTTTATATGCTGTTCCTTTAACGTCGAAAGCTTTTTTCCTAGGCACTTTGCTTAGCTGACTCCTTATCTCTTCAGGTTTTAGCTTCAATATCACCTCTTCAGAGCCTTCCCTGACTGACTGTTCAGAGGGAGTGACCCTAGTCATTCTTTTTTTTTTTTTAAGATTTTATTGGGGAATTGGGGAAGGGAACAGTGTTGGGGAATTGGGGGAGGAGAACATTTTTCCAGGACCCATCAACTCCAAGTCAAGTTGTTCTCTTTAATCTTAGTTGTGGAGGACGCAAGCTCAGCTCCAAGTTCAGTCACCTCTTTCAATCTAGTTGCAGGGGAGTGCAGCCCACCATCCCATGTGGGAGACAAACCAGCAACCTTGTTTTTAAGAGCACGTGCTATAACCAGCTGAGCGGCTGGCTGCTCAGCTCAAGGTGCTGTGTTCAATCTTAGTTGCTGGGGGGCACAGCCTACCATCCCATGCAGGAGTCGAACCTGCAACCTTGTTGTTAGGAGCACATGCTCTCACCAGCTGAGCCATCTGGCTGCCCATTGGCAGCTCAGCTTGGGTGCAGCTCATTGGCCCATGTGGGAATTGAACCGGCGACCCTGTTGCTCAGAGTTCATGCTCTTAACCAACTGTGCCACCCGGCTGGCCCGAACGTAGTAATTCTTAAAAAAAAAAAAAAAATAAAAGTTTTAAAGGGATATATTATATTATATCAGATTCATTTGGTTTCATTATAAATGTGGTTCACTATGAAACAGATACATTTTAGTCAATCTAATTGACCCAAAGCCTGTAACGTCAGTAATATATAGCTGTGTTTTGCAAATATGAAGTCAAGTAACACAAACGTTATGCCTTTATTATCTAGTCATTTTCTATCAGAACTGCCTTCATTGCATTGATCATAACCAGTCCTTATTCTCTATGCTTGGCTGTTTGTTTTCTGTCCCCTATCACTGGATTGTAAGCACCAAGAGCCTCCCAAAATCAGAAAGTGCTCAAAAACACTTCCTGAGTAAATGATTGAACCAAATTTCCTTTCTGGGGAGAACAGAGCCTCACTGGAGGGTGGGGAAGAGTTCATAATAAAGCTGTTCCCTCCACCTCTCCTGGGAACTTGTCCTATCTTGGAGTGTCAAGATCCTTTAGCATTTCCTGGCCAAAGTCTACCTGTTTTGAATCCAATCACCCCACAGGTGAAAAGATCCCTAATCGCCTTGTGAGGTGAAGCTACCCCTCCCGTTTCCCAAACCAGAGGCTCTTACACAAGGTGCATAAGAACCCCTGGAGGGCTTGTTAAAGCACAGACGCCTAGGCTTTCCACCCAGAGTTTTAGATCTGGGATGGAGCCCAAGAATATATACCTCTGACAAGTTCCCAAGTGATGCTAATGCTGCTGGTCCGGGACCACACTTTGAGAAGCATGGCCCTAGACCTTGACATCACCCGAGATACTGACAAGCAAATGTTTGAGCAGGAAGGAAGCAGGAGTGAGTCCCAGTTGCAGGGGATTGGAGACATCTAGGGAGGGGGTGTGTTTGTAGGGATCAGCCTCAGAAATCTACCAGGCACGTCTTTGAGCTAAAGTAGCCCACCTGGCCAGGTAGCCCATTACATAGCCCCCTCAGATTTTCATTTCATAAAAGGCCAGCCAGCCAATCAACCTACTGACTCCACATGAAAGTATTGAGAAACATTGTCCCAAGAGAATGACCAACCATCCTGGTTTGGCTGGGATTGAGGGATTGCCGGGACACGGGACTTTTAGGAAAGTCTTGGATAAACTAGGATGATTTGGTCACCCCAAACCCAAGTCTCTTTGTCTCCAATAAAAAAATATGCAGCAAAATATCTCTGGTATAATGTTTATTTAAATAGTAATCTTAGAAAGGCTTTATACAAATCATATAAACACAGTTTGACATTGTTGTTTGTTTATTTTTTACATCGAAGAATCACAGTAAAAGCTCTCAAGTTCCCGTGGTCTGGCTCAGCCAGCGAATGGTCGAACACCTTTAACTGCAAACCCTGGAAAAGTTAACCTTCTGGGTGACGGTTTAACTTTCCCCTTGTTTTCTTGCCATTCATGCTCATTCCTTGGACCCTCATCCCTGTCAACTCCTCATCCCCACCTAAGAGAGAAAGCAACTCTGTGGCCCTGTTAACCGTCTAGTCCGGGAGAGCGTGGAGGTAATGTGTCATTCAGTACAAGGCAAAAAAGGAGATTAATACTGTGAGCTGGGTTTCCCAAAGGGAACGAATCAAAGAGACGGCCAGCCAGCCTACCTGCAGATAGAGACAACAAATGAACCAGGGTGGCCCCTGACCAAGTTATACTCGGGCCCACTGTCTTACAACAGGCCAGCCTCCAGCGTTGGTGAGGTATCTACACGTAGCCCTGGGTAGCCTACTTTCGGTCAGCAATCAGGGCCCATCCACTTAGGGCTTCAAATCAGCCCACGGTGAATATGGATATAGAGGGATGCAGGTTGAGTTGTATACGACTTAGAGGTGAACGGCAGGCCGGAGACAAGGCTGGTCTTTGGAGAACTATACAATGGCCCACTGGGCGTGAGCAGGCCAGGACTCCCAGAGCATGCCTCTGAACTTCTCTTCTGCTGCAGGCTACTTCTGGAAATCCCTAGGACGTGCTAGCTTCCTGAACACTGAGCTACATGGGGAGGCAAAGAAGAGGGTGGACTACTTAAAAACTTACTTCTGCTATCCACTCAGCTCAGGGGGTGCCTAAAGCTAAGCCCTTGGACTTGGCAGCTTTACTTTTCACCTCTAACTACCACTGTGCCAACGAGTGCCGAGATCAGCAGTTACACTCGGGCCTTAGGTCAAAGTCAAAGTCACAACAACACTGAGTCCCACGTGACCATTCACATACACAGTAGATACAGAGAACTCAACGGCAGCAAAGACACACACGCATATGAATAAATAGCTGTCGGTATGAACTCTCCCTCTCTGCATACAAAACACTGTGACGTTACCGTTTGAACTAGCATTTCCATAAGTTAACATTTAAAGGAACCGACGGCCAGTCCCATTCACCCTTCCCCTTTTACTTGGGTATCAGACAAATGACATTGTGGGTGACCATAGCAGCAAAAATGGTCTGACAGTCTACCACTGATATGCAATAGGCTGGGCACACCGGCTGGGTATCAAACGTATCTCCAGCACACAGGCAATCAATCCTTAGGCATCACTACAAAGTCAGATTTGGATCTTGACGTGGACAATCTTACCCTTCACACAGTTTCACTCTATTCCTGATGCCTCCCCTTCTAGAGTAGTGGGGAGTCATCTAGGGCTACGACTACTACTCGGGTAGCAGGGCTCATTCCATTGATAGGATCAGCGGTGAGGTGAGGGGACTGAGATTGGAGCCATTGGGGTTAGGGAAGGAGGGATGCCTTAACATGTATGATATTCACTGATTTCTACATAGAGGGAAAGTACATTGTTTTCTTCATGTTCCTCAAGGCACTTAATAAAAACACATAAATTGGCGCGCGTGCGCGCATGTGTGTGTGTGTGTGTGTGTGTGTGTGTGAACATAGTTCTCTCTGGGGTTGAAGCAGTGTTATTTGCATTTTGGCCCACAGTGCTTACAGTCGTCAGGTTAGACTTGCATACCTCCTGGGACGGACTTCCCTAAAAGGTTGAGGTGGTGGCTGTAACCCCAAGGAGAAATCAATGTTTACTAGCCTATCAGAGAGACTAATTCATCAAAACATCTCTGTACAGTCTGCTCAGCCTTTGTCATCACCTGATCACAGGGGGTGGACTTCTTTTTCCCTCTCCAGTGTTCTCCTTTCCATGCAGTGCTCACCAGTTACATCTCACTGACACAGAAAACATACTAAAGGCCTGTGTTTCCCCACCCCATCTCTGAAAATATCAAACGATGCTATTTCCTGGAGCTTAGAGAATGGACAAATGTGCGTGTGTGTGCATGTGTGTGCACGTGTGTGTATGTATATGTTTTAGAAGCACAAGGTGGAGGGAAAAGAGAAAAACAAAACCACCCCCAGAGGCCCCCCAGGGCAGCCTCACAGCCGCAAATTCTGGTCTGAATGGCTCCTATTCACAAAGCATGTTAAGGCCTGTCCACTTCTAACATGGAGGTGCTTCTATGGGTTTTGACGTGTGAAGTTTCCTTTCTGGTTTGTTTTAAATCACATATAAGAAATAGCTGTTCATGCTGACCCTAAAATGGCAATTTTCCCCTGGATAAAAAAATTTAAAGGCAACAACATCCTACTTAAATGCTAGGACTGGAAACGGCAGCTTGTAGGGTTGGCTGGCAGAACGGACACCACAGCAAATCCCGTAAGTCGTGAGAGGACCGGAGGACAGGATATGCTGGACAGCTTTTTTTTTTTTTTTTTAAATTTTTTTCCTAAAGATTTAAAGTCTGAAAAGGCTCTTTGCTTTTCAAGTGTTGATTGGAAAGAGAAAGCTGAGAATAATGATCACCGCTCTGCTTCTCTACTGGAAAAGTCATTCTTTTCTGCCTCCTTGAGTTGCTCACAGACCAAAGAAATAAAATACTAACAAACTCACAAACAAAATAGGACTCTAACCCCAAAGAGATGAGCTCCCGTCTTCGTCCCAGCAATGACTCCGCCACCGGGGTGCTAGGTGGGTCGTAACTCCCCCAGTGCGGCTGCATCGCCCCTCCTCTCACCTCGCCTGTCTAGCGTGTCCACACCTTCGGTATTCTGGATTGGTTGGATCGAGATTATGGCATTCAGTTTCCAAAGGAAAAAAAATTGTAATCTTCACGAGCCTCTTTTGCTGGAATGAAATGTCAGATGTGATTGGGGTGCAATCCGTCACGCCTCTGAGCAGCACTTCTGGTGGTTCATCTTGACCTTGTGCTTGAGGCCGTCGTAGAGCTCGAAGTTGTAGTTCTCCAGGGTGGTGCAGCTGCGGGAGCTCAGGCCCGAGTAGGAACAGGTGCAGTAGAGCAGCAGCCCCGCGCACGTGGCCCCCAGGAGGACGCCCAGCGAGCTCATGGCGATGATGGTGATAAGGATGGGATCCAGCGTGTAGAGCCAGCTCTTTTCCTTGTCGGCTGAAGGGGCACCGGCCCCTGAGGTTGGGGAAGAAGCGTTGCTCCAGTCCACCTCGTACTCATCTGTGACATAAAGCACAGAGGCTGCAGACACTGTTGCTTTCCCTTTGAAATAATTGAACCTCCCCAGGCCAGTTCAGAGGCTCTTCAGAATACAGGGTGGGGGGGAGGAAGGTGGGGGGGGAGGGGTAAGCAGTAGGATGCCAGAACTCACACTGCTTGGTTTCAAAGCCCAGCCCTGCCACATCCTAGCTGTGTAACTTTGGGTAAGTGATTTAATCTCTCTTTGCCTCAGCTCTCTCCTCCGTAAATCGGAGATACTAATAAAATCTACCTCACTAGGTTGTCAGGAGGATTAAATGAAATAATATTTGTAAAGTGCTCAGTGTCCAGCACATAGTACGTACAGTTTGAGTATTGGAAACTTAAATAATCTGACTCATGTTAGGCAAACTCAGATTATAACAGAATCTTCAGGGTGCCGTTGGAGCACCTGAAATGTCGCCTGTGTCCTGGGCACCTTTCTTTCTTTGCCTCCTCATCCCTCATTTTCAACTGCTTTCAAGTTAAATCAAAGGACAAGCTGAGACTATTTGCACAAGAAGAGGTTCGCAATTTACCATTCCTTGCCATCCAAGCAGGAGATGTTTTTATGAGCCACCAGACCTCACTTGACATCCATCTTACCTTACTACTGGGTTGAATTATGTCCCCTCCCCAGATTCATATGTTGAAGCCCTAATCCCCAGGACCTCAGAATGTGACCTTATTTGGAGATAGGATCTTTACGGAGGTAATCAAGTTAAAATGAGGTAATTAGGGTGAGCCCTCATTCAATGTGACTAGTGTTCTTATAAAAAGGAGAAATTTGGAGACAGACACAGATGAGGAAATGTCACGTGAACGTGAGGATGGCCATTTACAAGCCAAGGAGAAAGGCTTTTAATAGATTTTTTCCCTCACAGCCCTCAGAAGCAACCAATCCTGTTGACATCTTGATCTTGGATTTCCAGCCTCCAGAATGGTGAGAAAATACACCATTTTGTACTGTTTAAGCCCCCCAGTTTGTGGTACTTTGTTAGGCCGCCCTAGAAACTTAATATATTTCTATAATGTGACCAAGGTATGATCACATCTACAGCTCCTTTGTGGCATTCCCTAGTAATCCCGCAAAGAAAGCAAGGTGATAACATAATTTTTTAAATAGATGAAGAAAGGGAGGTTTTAAGAAATTAGGTAACTAGGTACTCACTCAAGGTCCCAGAGTTAGCAAGCAGTGACACTAGGACTAGAAATCAGGCGTCCTGCCTCCTCAGTCTTTGCGTTCTCTACTGTCTCAGTGCTTCTGCTGCTTGATCTACTGCAGCCTGTCTGTGGAGGCCAGTTGCACTGCTTTGCCCATAAAAGGAGTGTTAGACTAGGTTTTCCAGGGAGCATCTGTACTCAGTTAACAAGGTGCTGTTTGGGTTAGTCACTCTGTTTCTATAACTACACTTGAAGTGTTTGATTAAGGTCAGGTTAAAAGCAGCTGCTCTATAAACTGCTCTTCTTAAATGCATCAATCTTGGTCTAAAAGCTGTTCTTTGAGGGGAACTTTAGTGATCTCTCTCGGAGATCAACTCTGGCAGCCAGAGAAGCCCAGAGAGACCTGTGCTGCTCGGAGTCGAGGGAAGAAATTACATCTACATGTTGGCTCAGTGGCCCTTCAGTCAGGACTCTTGCTTTAGCTTCTTGAAGTATGCATATTTGAGGTGGGAAAATAGAGAACTTGGAATAAATATGAAAATATGAGATGGGGCAGTGTGAAAAAAGAAACCTAAATTTTGCAGTAAGCCCCAACTTGGAGTCTTGGATAATGTGACAAGGGCTCCTACAAGCCAGGGAACTGGAAACCACAGCAGGCCTGGGAGAGTATTCACATTTACACTCATTCACTCAGGCCCTTTTTCAAAGGAGGTCAACTGGTTCAAGCTGTGACTTGTATTGAGGAGCCTGGCTTTTACTTCTAAAGGGTTTATCCAGGTTTGAAGTCCCTTAATGTTAAAAGTTGCCCAATGGAGGGGACCTGTTTCAGATTAGGCAGAGGGAACTCAATAAACTTTCTAAATCTCTAAATTTGACCTTGACAGAACAACTGATGGTTTCTTCATTCCTCTCTGGATTCTTTTCACTTATATTTCTGACTGGTAGTTCTAAATTCTGGCTCTCCAATACCCTGGGCATTATTTTTGTTGACGTCTTTATAACCGAACTTGAATTTCATGATTATTTGCTAAATCATAGCAATACTCACCATCAATTTCGTCTTCATAGCCCTCTCTCCCGTGTATTTCTGGGATGTCCACTATAATGAAAAGGAAAACAAACAAATCAAGTTATAACAAGTTCTATCACCATGGCTAAAAGGCAGAGATGCAACCTTCCTGAGAGTGACTCCCCAGCGTGGTGGACAGCTAAAGCGTCACATCTGCTTCAAGATCATTTCATAGGCATATTACTGGAGACTTTCCCCTTCAAATGATTTGTCTTGACTTCCAACAACAGCCAGAAACGCAGAGGCAATAAAAAAAGGTCTTTAGTGCCAAGTAAATCCTCACTTCTGTCTTTATAATGGTTGTCATTCATTACCAATATAGGTCTGAGTTTTATCTAAGGCAACTTCAACGACATCATATGCCCATCATCAGTTGTCATTACTGTCTGTGATGGTCGTTTAGTGTGACATGATGCCCCTCTCATATGCATGCATCTAAGTGGACACCAAGTACAACAGTCTTTCTCCTTTGGATGTCAAATAAATTAATGGTAATTTAAGGAAGTCGTGCTTCATCGTTATATGTTTTAATGTAGACGTAGAACTGGAAAGAATGTCATAAGGCCTAGTCACCTTCACGTATCTGCGCAAATAGCTCTCGTTTTTCCTTTCCCATCTAGTTTTCCTATTGGCTTTATTCACAGTTTCGAATAGATTAAACACGGGCATCCAATCTGGCTAGCCCAGGCTTGAATAGAGCTGAGTTAATTTACTCTGAATTTTCTCCAGTCCTATCACTGTCTATCTTTTTATATTTTTTTATGCTAATTTTTGGGGAAGGGGATAATACAGGTCTCTCTATTCACCATACTGTCCATCTTATAGAAACCGAGCCAATGAAAATTACCTGTCTAAAATGGTAAAACATTAAAAAAAAAGGATCAAATAATGTGGTAAAGAGCAGGGACATATCATGTCGTCTAATCTCACAAGCTAATTATGCCTGTCCCAGCTGTCAGCAAAATGGCACCAAGTGAATGTATGTGGCCTGTTAGAAGTTTTATTCAACCCAAAGTCAGGTGGACAACCTTGAAGTCAGCAGTATAAACTGATGTCCAAAAATCGAGGATAAAAACAAAACTAAAATACCAAACAGCTAAAGTATCAAAGAAGAGGAAAAAAAAGAACTTCAGACCAGCCTGACCTTCTCCCTTATCAGCACAACGTCTCAGGGAAGAGCTACTTGGCCATAACCCAAACTGAGGATCAATCCATCATGGCCACACAATTCAGTCTTTTCCTGGAGGCAGTGTTTGTAATCGTGTTAGAAGTCTTCCTCATTCCTGGCCAAAATGCTAAAACACGTTCTCATCCTCTTGGTTGCTAGGAAAGGATGCACAAAACAATGTGCCAAGATGCTACCTCAAAGGATCAATGCCACGTGGCACTGATTTTCAATAAATCCAGCTGGCTCCTGGCATGTTTGTAGCACAGCAACTGGCACCTGCAGTCCATGCCAGCTTGCCCACCTCAATGCCCATCCCCTGCATTATTCTCCAGGTCCCTACAATGCAGGCTGTTTCCTTGGAATGAAGAAGTGAACATGAGTCAACAAGAGGCAGGTGGTGTCTGTCATAGGGCTCAACTCAAGCTTGAGAAAGTCAAGCCGGGCCTTTTTTTAACCTTATGAAAAAAACAAACATGGAAGAAAGCCATCACATTTCCAACAAGTAATCGTTTTGATGGGATGCTCCTATGTCTTAACACCTTCACAGTTAAAAGATACAGAACACTGGAGAATATATGAATCAGCCTAGGATGCAAACTGTAGGGCTCCTGCCAGTGCCTTTTGGGCCAAATCCTGTTCTTGCTTTTAGGGATTTGGTCTCTGCCAAGGGTGTGATGAGTTCTTGGATGCTAGAACATCATTTTGCTCCATCTCATATGCTCAGGGGAGAACTCTTAGGACACTATTGATCATGGGCTGGAAAGAGGTGGATGTGGCATGTATCTTAAAGGAAAAATGGTAAAAGGATGATAATGACTATAAGAATAATTTTCCCCCCAGGAGATCACAACCTCTTGTCTCTGAAGGCAGAGGACTGGATGACATGACATCCCAAGAACTGGTCCATTTCTAAGGCTTTATGAAATTGACTGCCTAGATGTGGCTGAGATTTCTGCACCTGGAGATCAAAGGCTACTTAAGGTGAAGAACACATTATAGGCTTGACTAGGCTTTTGGTTGCTCCCAGCATTTGGGTGAGTTGGACGGGATCGGGGAAAAAAAAAAAAGGATAAGTTAATCAACATTTTCAAAAGCGCATCTGTTTCCCAAGCCTTAAAGAAAGAATAGCACACTGGGGAAAACCCAAATAAAGGGAATATTTGTACAAAAAGCAATTTACTTTGATAGCAATTTTCTTTAGTCCCTTTGCTAATATTCTTGATATCTGTGTTTGATTAAGAGCTTTCTTTCTCAAAAGCATCTCTGCCTTCATGGGCCACTTTCCTTTTCTGTGGCATCCGGTAGGTAAACCTCAGCCTTTTTCCTCAGGATGCTGGCAGGAAGGAGTGTGATTCTCCCACTGGGCCCCTGTACTTCTAGCAAAGAAAAGGCAAGGGTGGGGAGGAGGGAAAGTGATGAACCAGGAGGGAGAGTGGAGGCAGCTCTTTCCTGGGAAGAAAGAATGGCCGCCAAGGATGAGGACCCAGCTCAGCAAGTGAGGCAGATAGAAAAGAATGCGGGGACCAGGAACTGAAAATTTTGTTTTTAATTTTTTTTTTTTTTAATGAGGAAAACTTGGAGAGGACCTTCCAGGAGTCTGTTTTAGTGGGTGGGTTTGTTTGGGAGTGTGAGATGGACTAGGGGGAGTGGAATGGGACACACCTCTAGGAGCGCACGGATCAAGAATGGATCTTACCACCCACATGATTTCCACTTTCAACCTTTGTGCTCACATGACCCTATTTCCTTCTGGGCCTCTGTGTGGATTCAATCTCAGGCCAGTCTGACTGCAAAGCCTGAATTCTCACTCTAAGTACTGTATTAGGGCCCGAGGAGAGCACCACCCCGCTCCAAGTCTGTACCTAAGTTCTGTGGGATGGGCAGGACATTGCAACTACCCCATTCTAACAGAAAAAAAAGGTCTTCTCTGTCTCAGATCCCAGTTGACTAGATACACTCTCTGGCTGTTTGCCGGCAGCTCTCCCTCACCGCTTTGATGGAAACTAGCAAAAACCTCTCATGAATGTTAAGTTATGATGAGCTGAAACTTGGGGCCTGACATTTTCTATGATAGGCGTTACTGAAAGAGGGAAGGCTGACTTATACTGTCTTTCAAAGGGCAGTCTTCATTAACGACTAACTAGCCAATCAAGCACCCCATCCCTTGTTAAGAGGGTTGACTAGGTGCCCAGGAACCATATAGAGGATTTGGGGAAAGGAAGGTGTAGGGGAGCGGGGTCTACAATCTATGCCCTTCAGTGTGGCTGGGAAGCAAAGAGTCACCCACACCAGAATAGCATAAAAGAAAGTGGGGCATTGTGGAGGGGGCTTTAAGTGCTGTTGGAGACCAGGGCAGGGGTTGGGCAAATGAGGCTGGGCCACTGCCAGGAAGAAAACCTGGGAGTGAGGAGGAGGAGTCTTCAGAATTGAGGCTGCTACAAGGTGGGGGTTGGGGAGGTCTTGGAATGGTTTCCAACATGGCACCTGAGCCTTTTCATCCATACACTGAGCTCTTGGGTTTGGGCTTGAATTCATTTTTATCAGATCCACTGAGGAATTCAGAAGAGGTTGCCTTGCCAGGCCACAACTCTTCCACCTTGTGTTTCCCTAGATGCGAGGCAGGTCCCTGCTCTGCTCTCCCTTCACCAGCTGCTGTGGACCAGCATAGTGAGAGGAAGACCTCACGGGTGACTGGAAGGGAGCTTCAGAGATTTGGATTGATCATGTGAGCAGAGTAGCCACTACTTAAAAGATAAACGTACAAAACACCCAATTCAACCATACGTGGGCATTTTCATACTGACATTGAACCTCAGACTGGAAGTCCCCCTGTTTCCCCGGGAGTCCCTTCTCTTAGCATCATTGAGAGGTGGGTTAGGTACACAGTGAAAAGTTATTCAAGGTCTCATCTATCTCCCATTATCCTGATTTTTCAGAGCAAGAGATCCATAGTGGCTCGTTATTAAACATCCACTGGACTGCTCCAGGAACTCCTTCCACCCGAGGAGAGCCAAATTTCTCCAGTGTCCTTATCAGTAGATTGCATTACGATGGCATGAAGGGTAAACAGTGATACCCAGTTACGAAATGAACCTCCTCTAAGAAGATATGTTTTTCCCCAAGGGGTCTGGAATACCACCCTGCTGGTGTAAGACCACACATGCTATGCAGTGGAAACACCCCAGACACCCCAGCCTGCAACTGGGAAATTCCCCACTGAGTGTGATTTAGGTCTCCAACAAGAGAGCTTTCTCTCACAATTTCTCTCTCTGTCTTTCTCTCTCTGCCCCTCTCCCCCACTCTCTCTCCACACACACACACACACACACACACACACACACACACACACACACACACACACACACAATCTTCTCTCCCATTTTCTTCCATTTTTCTTTTTCTCTTAAATTAAGATCCTTTGGGGTTAGTTTGCTTTTCTTCTTTTCTGTTACAGAAAGATTATGACCGCCACTTTCACCACTTTGGCTCTGCTGTGGTCTACTATGAGAGGACTGGCATTGACATTGTTCTGTGGATTGTCTGCATTGTAAAGGGAGCTTCACAGGATTGCAAGGAGCATGAGAAGTCTGCCCCCAAACCACTAGTTACTTTTAGATAAATGATTTAAAATAATCTGTCCCTGGGTCACTTGCATGCAGATCATTTCAGGACACCGGCAAAGGCTGGTTCTCTGAAAAGTTCCTTCCATGCCAACTCTGAGCAGTGGGGTAAGAGGCTTGGCTGAAATGAAGGACAGGTTTGCCATCCAGAATGTGTAGCAAAGATGCTCTAAAGACTGGAGTGTCAGTTCCACTCTACACCTGACAGGAAGCCACACACAGGATATAGAGGAGCACTGGAC